CGAAAAACTAGTATTATTTGAAATAGTGCTGGAATCTGGGGCAATGCAGCTTCTTCCATTCCCTTCAGACTTGAGGGGTAAAATTATATATGATGGCCAGTTTCAGTAAGGCAGGAAAAAGTTATAATTTTCAAGTAAAAAAATGAATAAAGACTAAAACAAAAAACTGGGTTTTTTGAGCTGATTGCTTGCATGGATCTGTGGTGCATACACCTTGGGCATGCAATGCTCTCCTGGCAAGTTGTGCTCTTTAATGCTGCAAGAAAATCTAGTATTTAAGAAGTTATGGTGTCATCTTTTGGACAATGAGTGCCCAACAGCTCTTGCTGAAGTTAACTTGACACTTCATAAAAATCAGGTCATTATTGTTTTTGGTATTTATTTGTACGATGGTTATGATTCCCTTGTGTAAGTGACTTGATTGTGTAATTACAAAGCTGCAATAGCTCTTCTTCACTGCAGCCAAACTGTGCTGCTGCCTCATTTTTTTCAGTCAGCTTGTTTCTGACAGCGCACAGGTAACTTCTAATCCCCCTGAATTTCAGTAACTAGAAATTCCATTTCAATTGCCAAGTATCACCTTAGAGCAGAAGGGGAGCATAAAGTTTAAGTCTGGCTGTTGATAACTTGTATCTTACTGGGGTTGCAGTGATGAACTGATTATTTCCAAGGCAAACAGTGAAATGTCTGTCTGTTTCAGAGCTTATCTCACTGTGAGCTAATCACAGATGATGGGATTCTGCATCTGAGCAACAGTACCTGTGGTCACGAGAGGTTACAGGTACTGGAGCTAGACAACTGTCTTTTGATCACCGACCTGACCCTAGAACATCTGGAGAACTGCCGCAATCTGGAGAGAATCGAGTTATATGACTGTCAGCAGGTCACTCGAGCAGGAATCAAAAGAATCAGAGTAGGTGTTGTGGACATTTACTCAGCTTTTGGAAAGGACAGAATTGCCTATGTGTAATCATAATAATCATGTAATGCACACATGATCCCAAAAAGCGTTTGAACTATGGGAAAAATAACAAAAAACGTAAGTCTCAACTACAGGGAATTTCCATCAAATATCTATTTCCATTTATATTCCAAGATACTGTTACTATTGCAATGCTCCTTAGTACTGATCTTCTCTCTTTCTTACTGATTTGTATGTTTTGTGCTTTATCTACTTTCCAGTGTTTGTTTTAAAGGAAACATGGGCTGTTGGGGTTTATTTGAACTATTAATAGCATTCCTTCCAAATACATATGCTTCTCACAAAGCAAGTGTAATAAAATGAAGAATCTGCATAGATGCTGCCTAGATTGTTAGTTAAGTTTTAAACTAAATGTATAGAGTAAAGGTTTGTAGTGAGGACTAAACTTGTAGAACAAGAGTATTAGGATTTTAAGACATGGGAAAATTTAGAATCAATTTCAGATGCCCTTGATTAATTAAAAAAAAGGACAGGTTTTGAGCTTTTTTTTTGTTTCAAGAGTTTTGATTAAGGCGATATAGTCATGATTTGTTGTTTTCTGATTTTGCTATAAATATACAGAAAGCCCTAAAATTTACCTAAGAAAGATTCTTTGAGCAGTTTCTATTTCTGAATGAGTGAATGTGGCCAGGTTCCAATTTATTAAATTGTTTTCCTGTGCTTAAATATGAATGCCTTGCTCTCTGTAGTTATGCCAGACAGCTGTATGGAACTGTTTGGCTTAGTCACTTTTAGAAGTGGCCGTAGACTTTAAAAGTATGTTAATCAGGGACTTTTCAAAAAAAAATCTTTTTGAGGTTTGCCAGTAGTTTAGTATCTGCTGGTAATGGTTGTGCTTTACCATTTATATTTTTTGGTTACATTTTCATTTCTCACTTTCAGGCTCATCTACCTCATGTGAAAGTTCATGCTTACTTTGCTCCAGTTACTCCACCTCCTTCTGTAGGAGGTAGTGGACAGCGACTCTGCAGATGCTGCATTATTCTTTGACAATAGTTAACATCAGGCTAAGGAAAACATTTCCTTTGGCTGTGGAAGAAGAGAATCAGACTGCAAGTGGTTTGCAGAGTCAGTTTCCTGACTGCCATAGCAATGATGTGTCAATCATCCAATTTTTTGCTGGTAATGACACCAAGAAAGACATTTTTCCAGGTAAAAGGCTTAAGGATTGAGTTGGTGATGCTTTTTTTTTTTTTTTTTTTACTCTTTTGCCTCCACCATCCCCCATTGGCATAACTGTGATACTGTATGGCAATGTTACTTGGGTATTTCAAAGTAGTGAATGCTCAGTGAAAGTACCAATACCATAAGCCCCACTCAATGGAGCTATTACTCAATGTAAAAAAATGTTTAATACAATTCAGAGTTTCTTATGTCAGTCATACGGGGAGAGGGGGGGTCCAAACTGCTGTTCTACAACATATTCATAACACGACTAAATCTTGTCAGGTTTAAAGACAAATCAGCTTTAGTAGATAGACCAAAAATGTAATGGGGTTCCTTGTTTTTCATGATACAGCTTAAATTTTAAATAAACAGCAGGTTGATTGCATGTAACTAAAGAGAAGACAACTATTTAGAAGTCTGTAGAAAATATTTTCCCAAGATCAGGGAAATGCTGTTGTAAAGGGATTGCAAAGCAGGTAAGAATGGGATGGGTACGTTATATTGTATATGCTCTAGCTGAAAAGTATCTACAGTGTTTGTTAGATGGCCATTATCATTCTGAGCCTGTCTCCAGTTTGTAAGGAGAAATATTGCAACTGCCCTGGAAAGTAAGGAAGTACTAGCACTATTTTTGTACAGTGGCACATATATTAAATAACCTGATTTAGGTCATGCGCGACATCTATGGGCAAGGAATTGAAGCCCTGGGCAGGAAAGTGTGATTGTAAGCCACACATTGTGACACTGATATTTTTTATATTAAGCAGCCTAACAAATGATCTGAAATAGGAAGCATTCAGGCTCTCAAAATCTCAACATTTCCTGTTAGGTACATAGGGGAGAGGAGGGTTATTATTTTTATTTTGTTGTTGTTGCTGATTAGTAATTAAAAAATATCTTGAGCATAATGAAAATAAAAAGTGACCTGTTGATACTTACTTCACTATACTACTACACATACAATGTTTCATTGTATTTTTTGTGTAGAAAGTATGTGAGCTTCAGTTAATATAACTTTTGTGACAACTTGGTTGCCTCTGACAAACAGCTCTAACAAACAGGTATCTTGGAAACATTGCCTTATCATTAAGTGCAGCACTTTATTAAAACAGTTGTTTAAACAGAGCTGCCCTTAACTGCCAAGATTAATAGAGAACATTTAAAAAATATGACAGGGCTTTTTGCTGCTGTATTTTTTGTAGCCAGACATCTTATTGTCACACAATTAGCTATAACGGGGACAGCGTAAATAAACATGATCAGTTCAGAAAAGGTTGTGTGTTTAGGGGCAGTGGGTGTCAACTTGTTCTGAAAACCAGAGATAACTAGCAGCAGCAAAGAAAAAAAAAAGAACAAAAAGCAACCCCACACCCTTGTGCTGATGTGTACGACCTATTAAAACATTGCCACTTGCTCCATTCCCTCAACAGTTGAACTGGGTATCCCATACTAGCTTTTCAGAGTGCATTGCCTTATGTTTGGCTCATTTTTAGAAATCTTACTGTGAATATACAATATTAAAATTGTAAAAAACAAACGGAACTTCTGCATACTCTGAAGTCATATAAATAATTTATGAACTAGGGTCTCAAATAAAAAAAGATCACTGGATATGTATTTGGGCTTGTTTCAATGATTTCAAGGCACTAATCTTACTTTAAGTATGTGGTCTTTTGGTTCTGTTTCACTGTCAGTCTTGACCATCTTTCCAGAAAAGGCTCAACTATAGCATGACATTTTTTTTGCAATTAATTAGTTCAACTTTTCAAAAAATATGCAGGGGCAAAACTGAACTGCCTTGGAAGATGTAGAAAATACAATATTGTTGTTCCCAAAATGACGGCATCCATTTCAACAGAGATTTCAAAAAGCAATTTACAAAATTATTGAAAAACATTTATTTATACTTAAATTGAAATGTGTACATCTTATTAAAAAACAAAAGCAATTTGCTGGTGTCATAATTTAATTCCAATTTCAAGTGAGCTGGACAAACTACTGTACAATTCTCAATACCCTTTAAAATTAGATAATCATTTGGATACTTTCCAATCAAGGATTTTTCCACTTTTATAAAACATTTGGATTTGAAGATGGTGCTGAGCTGAAAGAACTGAACAACAATTGTCAATTCTATAAGATACTAAGACCCAAACGATACCTGAAGATGAGAAGTTAATAGGCAGAAGAAATGTAAAGTCATGACATTTTACTTTATCAGTGCAGAAAACGTTAAGTCAAACAGGAAAGAAAAAAACCTCTAGTTTTCATGGATTCAAATGTTCAGATTTGCTACCACTGTAGAGGCCTTTTTGTTAAGCACTTAACCCAGTTAAGAGGAAATGAATGCTCTTTTGCTCTCTACAAATTTGTCGCTTAACACTATAGCATCCAAAAATTAAAGCATTCTTCCCAGATTTTGACAGGATGGGTGGTTCAAAGGCACAAAGGATGGTTAAGAGATCTCACTGCCATTTGTGCCTTTGACAAGTGTCCCCCAAAGTACCTATTACTGTGCAACTATAATGTTCAATCTGTGAACTGCAGTGCCATGTTTGACAATTTCCAGAAAAAACCCATCTTTGAAAAAGCACATTACCTTATTTCAAAGGTAACTTGTGTGTTTCCTCATGTGGAAGAGGCACTGTGAAATTGTTGTGGTATGGATCTGAGGCTATAGAAACAGTTAAGATACTTGCCCATAAACAGAGACAGTAGCAAGCATTTACCTGCTAGAGAGACTTAAGTGTTGTATATTTAGTGTTTAAGCAATTTAATGGATGCTGCTTAAAGGATGCTGCTTAAAGCTGTGATGTAGCCCCTTGGTGCCTCCCTCGTCAGCAATATTTCCATTAAGTCAGGAAAATCTAACTCTCACTGCCAGTATTTTTAAACCCACCATTTCACAAGCAGAAGGTTAAAGAGTTCAACTGCAGCAGTGCTCCATAGAGAAACTAGAAACTAAATAAAGGATGCATAGGCAAATTTTTCCATTAAATTTGTTAAAGCAAAACACAAAATTACTTTGTACCCCACAGGATTTATACTACTCCTTCCAATAAGGTACTGTTGACAATGCAGTTGGCTGCATGCATATATTGCATCTGGCTAGGACTTCTTAAAAATCCTTTTCTGGCATTTACACTTCTTACGTACACTCTTATACACAATTTACACCGGGAAGCCGTTTTGACAGCTTTACTCTCAAAGACCCGACAACCTGATCACTATCAGCTTTTAACTACTCATCTCAACACAGATCAGTATGTGCTCTGCTAACATCAAAAAATAAATTCAGCATAAGGTACAAGCAAGTAATAGACAAACTGGCACAGAAAGGTAAATGCCCCCAAATAAGTTTACATTCATCTCCAAACTGGATACAGTGCAATAGGAAAGCAGTACTGCTTCTACAAACTGTATCTACTGGCCATAATTTGCCTTATTTCACTGAAGGGCAACCACCTTTGCTTACATTGTCTTCCATGCCTGTACATAAGCTGTCATGGCATTATACCTCTTATGAGGACACTTAGCTATGGCAGTGATAAGAAAGTTTACCTATCAAACAGCTCATTAGAAAGGTCAACTTGTGTTTTCAATATGAAACATTTTATATGGTGAAGTTAGATCCTAAGAGTTTTTGGATGATCTTCATAGTCATTAAGTGTGACTTCACTCTGCAGTTGAATAGCAATCCAGCAAATGTTTGCCCTCACTTCAAAATTATGTGGAAACCTTCACCATTTTCAGCTGCAAAGGAGAGAGAAAAGTGGCATCCTTTTAAACAAAGATCCCAAATACTGAAGGCAATACAATAAAAACCCCACACCTAAAAGTGACATTTTCTCAAGTTATTAATGAGTAGAAAAAGCTTTCCTTCAATATAAAGTTTATCTACCTGAAATACAACTGCCCCAAACTTTTCGACCCTTCTATGCAGAACACCGCAGTTTTGCCTTCTTTCTGTTTAAAAATTCTGAAAATCAACTTTTTCAATCTGATTCGATACTTTTATTTCTAGTATCCCATCCCAACTGAATCATCCTGTTTTCCTGATAAGGCTGCTCTGACACTGAGCATTACAGAACCAAGTTATCGTCCTCATTTCTAGTAAAAAGATCAATTAGTGCTCTCATTCTTCAACCTCATCTCATTTATAAGGCAGAGCTTCAAACTGAAACAAAAAGGAGCACTGGAAACAAAATATAATGCACGCTGAGAATTACTTAAAGGATTAATTTCAAGTCAAGTCAGGTGATTTTAGTATTTTTCTTAGTTTTCATTAGCAAGGAATATTGAATAGCTTAGTGCAGAATTTCTTCAAACTGTGCTTGTGTGTGTGTGCAAATCACAGCAGCGTCCACCCCCTTCAGCCACTCTCCCACCCCCTCAGCCTCTCGCTGCCACTGCTGGCTGAAGCTGAGCAGGGGGGGTGCCCAACTTTACTACTGTGGAAGAAGGCAAGCGTCAAAGCACAGATAAAGTCAAGCAGCTGAAAACTGCAGTAGTTACTGGAGCCAAATGGCATTTTAATTTGAATCAGTTTTTATATCACCAGGTGTGCAGAGTGAGTACCAGTTGTTGGATCTTGAAAATGGAAGCCTTCACATTTAAAAGGACTCTGAGCCCTGACAATACACCCAGTCACAAGTCTTTTCACATGATGCTAAGGGATACTCCCCCTAGTGAATTCTAACCCCTTATATTATCTGCTAAAAGCAAGGGATGTGTCATGCACTGAGCATATAGGGTACTGGATAGAGCAGTGATTCTTAACTGGGGTGCCATGAGATCTTTCAGGGCACCATGCATTATCAGCACTGTTAAATGTGCTAATACCTGTACATGAGTCACAAGAGAAACCCAGAGATTTCAAATAGCAGTCCAGCATGTCAAAAGTATTCTGGTGTTTGAGCTCTTTGCAACAAAAGAATTGCTTTTACATTTCCATACTTGAGAAAATAAGTGAAAGATGAGAGAGATGAGATGGAGAATCACTGGAATAGAGCATACAAATCTGGGAAGCATAACATGAAGGATGTATGTAAGGATCAGGGAGGTATAAAGGAAAGGCAGGCTCCAGGAACAATGAGGTATAAGCTGGACAGAATAAGTAAATAATGCCAGTCTATACCTGAGCAGCAAATACATGAAGTATTAGCTGCATCATATAAATATGAACAGGAACAATTACCATATGTCTGATTTTGCTCTTTCCATAAGCAACTCAGTTTAAAATGTAAGTTGGCAAGTTCAAAATGCCAAGTATTTAAAATTTTGTAATACAAAGAAGTATTTCATAGATAAGTTATTGTGTCTTTTGAAAACAAGAAGAGTAATACAGCAATCTTCATTATTACCTCCTTTATGCTCAATAACAGATCCTCTGCAATTGTTTAACACAGGAAAAATAATCTTTTCTGGCTATGGGAAAAAGTCTGTCACAGCTACATGGTAGCCAAGTACCAGGACATTAAGGGTAATCCTGTAATTCAACCTTTAATATTCTCTACTTCTTGGTGCACATGCTAATTTTGAAATTTAAATTAAAAAGGTACCACAGAACAGGACACTTCTACTTTGGAAACTTCATGATACCAGGAGAGTAATTCTATTTTAGGTACAGTAAAATCCCAGTTATCTGGCACAAGTGTGGAATGGGGGGGGTACGAGTAAGGTAGAAGTGCTGGTTACCTGAGGCACAGGGTTTCTGGCTGGATGCACAGCAGGAGGGGGGTGGCTGGCTCTGGTCCCAGGTGGGAGGGGCCATAGGAATTGCTCGCAGAGCAGGTGGGTCCCTGCACCCTGGCGGCTCCGGCCCTGCCCCTGGGAGCTGTGAGCCCTACCAGGGGAGCAGGCATGAGAGCCTGGCCCAGCTGGTGCTGATGGCTGCATGCCACTCCCCTGCTCCCCACAAATGCCAGGGCAGCCTGGCCGCAGGCTGCTGCAACGGGGGGAGGGGCGCATATGCAGCTAGGGATCAAAAAGCAGCGCAGCAAGCAGGAAAACAGGGCACGGCACCATGCATGTCCCGCTGCTGAAATGCCAGTTGATGGAGTATTTCAGTTAGTAAAATCCCAGATAACAGGGATTTTACTTTATATGGTAAAGTAGTGGGTGATAATCTAAACAGTGTTGTTGAATTACACCCACATTCTGTTGCTCCAGTAGTTTTAGAAATTTAGGAATTGGATCTGGAGCAATAACTTCATTCAAATATGTAAGGTGATTGTACTAACAGGAATCTGTGATTAATATTAAACTAGAACACTAAAAAGCAAAGATGTCTAAAGTATTGTGCTTTTACAATATACATTTTTTGAGTATAGGTTTTAAAGCAAACCAGTTCAGAAAGACCTGTGAACAATTCCAGCTTCCATCAACCACAGTTCTAATTCTTTCCCTCAGCTCCATCTCAAGTTCAATGCATTTTCTGGTTTGTAAAAACATAGGTGCCACATAGCTAGAACTTCCACTGAAACAAAGCCTAATTATGGCTTTATTGCCACAATAACTTGATTTTCATTATCCCCATCATCAAAAAAGCCAGCATACCTTTTATTATGGTGACTAAGAAACAACTCTCATCTTGAAAGTTTTGAACCATCTAGAAATAGAGAGGACACATTAAAATATCATCCTTGTCCCTGGTAGGAGGGCAGTCTGAATGTCCAGGCAGCTTTAGTTCCAAAAGGCTAATACTTTTCTATATTCTGTTTCAATACATTGTGACATTAATTATACAGGCTCAAAAAACCTTCCTTACTGTTAAAACAGTAAGACAGTGGTGGAATTATAGGGCATTTTTATACATGCTGCTGGCATGGCGCCGAGCACTTTTACTGAGAGCAGCTCACTAATTAAAAGTGCCTGGTGCCATGTCAGGAGTATGTGTAGTGACACAGCACGCCTCCATGCTGAGAAAATGGTGGCAGTACACTCTGAACTAAAAGCACATCAAAAGTGTTTTAGTTCAGAGTGCACTGCCACCATTTTCTCAGTGCTAAGGTGTGCTGCACCACTGATATATGTGATGTGTGAGGCTGCCAGAGAGCGTCAGTCTACATACTGGTTGGAACAGCCTCCTCTAATGTGTCTTAAGTGCCCAGACTGCCGAGGGAAGTCATACCATCTCCTTCATTGTAAGTTTTCAAATGGAAGGTGGATAAGGATTTGATAGGGACTGTTTAGAAATAGCATCGAATGACCTCTTGAGGTTAGATCGAATGACTTCTTGAGGTTCCTGAAGTCTGAAATTACAGTTGTAAGGAACAGTTGGAGTTAAGCGAACCAAAACGTCTGTTCAAACTTAAAGGTTTTTTTGTTGTTGTTCTGTTTTTAAAACTGATGCAAGGTAAAGATTCCATATTGCTACAATAAACATATTAATACTTTCATAATGTTGCATTTACTTAAGGTAAAAAGCATGCTACAAACTAAAGTGATTCATTGACTTTGAGGGGTCTTCCAGCAGAGGCCTTATTGCCCCAGTTGTAACTGTATCAAGTGCCAATAATGAATTCTGTAGGGGTGCACTGATAGAGATTTTAGGGGCTGATACTAATAGCCAATTTTTGAAGAGGCACATTGGCCGATATCGATCCAATTTCCAATACCAGCCTGGCAGCTTGAAGGGCCACATTCAGCTGGTAAGTCTGTTGCGGTGGAAAGGGAAGGGGAGGGAGAGAGAAGGAGCAGGTCAAGGCCCCCGCAGTGAAGGAGGGAGTGGGGCTGGAGTAGGCAC